AGAATCTTTTGTGAAATGCCCAACCTGCGGATATTTAAATTAAATGTAATCTAACAGTTCATAATGGTGATGATTTTCAAATGAGCTAGGACTTATTAAATACATACTACAAAATGTATTATTTAAGCTGTAAGGATGTAGAAGGCGATTGTTTCACTTTTAACAGGAAGAAGTGACTGGTGTCTCAAGGGGCCCTTTAGCTTCACATAACAGCCCACTGGTGAGGATAGTCAGTTGCTGATTAGCTCATGATGGAAATGGATATGATAGTCAGTTTTAATTCAGCTGACTATCAGTTGGCAGAATTCTGATGCATCTAAAATAGGAACCGAAAACATACCACAGATTCTACTGTATCCTTCTTGGGGGTGTTATAAGCAAGAAGTTCTTTTTATTTGTCCCCTTTGCATAGTGCTTGCCTTTTTATGTGTTTTAATTTCTTTGTGCCGGATAATTTGTCATTTATATATATATATATATATATATATATATATATATATATATATATACATACATACATACACACACACACACACACACACTCTCTCTCTCTCTCTCTCTCTCTCTACAGTACCCAATTAATAAGATAAAATGAAATAAATCGCATTCTTTTTGTGCAGCCTCATGATGCCACACTAGATCATTTCAAATGTCTAGCTTTTCAAAGAATACCAAGATGCAGACTGAGGAATTCTGTCTACGACACAGACACCACATCGGTTCTTTATAAAGACTTCAAAAGTGAAAGTACTTGAACAAAAATAACAAAATATGAACTTTGGACAATTTATCCACAACTTCGAACACAATATTTAAAACCTTTTCCAAAAATTGGAAAAAATATAATAAAAAATTAAACAGACAGACCTTGTCAGTTCTTCTTAACCAAACGTTCGAATGAATACTTGCTGCCTAAATATACTTTATTGACATATATATATATATCCCTGCTATTTATCCATAGCTGGGGGAAGAAGAAGAGGAGGATTCATACCATTCCAAATGGTACTAGCATGTAAGTGAATGTAATGGATTTGACTGGAATTTGAAGTAGGTTCTCTGATTCCTCAATCTGAGCCGTTATCCATCACTCCACTGTCCCTCCATGGCAACTGGTCTAGGAGAAGGACAATTTTGAATTCAAAACCTGTGGAGGGTCATTTGCAGACCTTGTGGCACGTTGTGCACCAGGTCTCTGCATTCGGCCCTTCAAAAAGCGTGGTTGGTTCTGCACAAAGCCTTCACCATTATAATCAAATCATATGTACAGGTTGTCTGGCTGCTGGCTCCTTGGAACTGAGTTCCCTGACCTTCATAAAAAACATTGACACCTCAAACACACATTGCGGCCTCGAGATCCCTTGTCTTGGGACTCTGTCCGGTTGAGAAGTTACAATCAAGAGTTCAAGATTATATATATATATATATATATATATATATATATATATATATATATATATATATATATATATATATAGTTTATGCAAACTTAGGTAATCCGTGTTGGTAGACCCGAGGAGGATGATATCCAGAGAGCTCAATGTAAAATTCAGAGCAGATATGTTTGAATAAAAAACAGACCACGTTAAGATTCCATGTAATAAGCTATTATTAGCTTATTACATGGAATCTTAACGTGGTCTGTTTTTTATTCAAAAATATATATAGGATCTTAATATAAATTGTATTTGTTTACATTAATACTGTTTAAAAATGTTTTTACAAATAAGTCATATTTGGAAATAGTATCATTCAGTTGTTCTAGTCCTTCCTTCCATCATGTTAAGGTCTTAGTATATCATTGATGCACTAATGCTTATAGTGGAAGTTGGAGAGTAGACAAGACAAAGATATTTCCTCCCTCTTTCCAAGCACCATATTAAAGCCTCTTATTTATATTTGGGTTATTGTCCTCATCTTTGTTGTTACCACAATGTTTTGAATGTTGTGCCTGCCAGACTTCATCAGATGTTTATCAATCGGGATAATCTACTGGGAGTTCTGAACTGAACACTGTATTTAATCTAAGTGGGTAGACAGTTCTCATTCCACTACCCATGTCTAGGGATATCTCCTCTAGTTCATATTTTTTGTACTGTTCAGTTATTGCTTGCCCTGTTTCCAAATATACACTACCTGGCCCCAGGATTGAATCCACAATTACTACGTCACCAAATTTACCAACAGTACTAGAAATAAGAACAAGACAATATAGTTCTAGACATGGGCAGCATTTTTGAAAACCTCCTTAGATTAAATAAAGGGTTCAGTTCACAATTCCCTGTAGGTGACCCAGATCGATATACACCTGGGGAAGGCCGGAGAGCACAACAGTGAAAATGTTGTGATAACAACAACAAAGATGAGGAAAATAGTCCAAATCTAAATAGTGTAAATAATGATAACGCCTCATCCCTGAAATTCTTTCCCTGTAGGTTACCCAGATCGATATTAACCTGAGGAAGGCTGGAACACACAACGGTCGAAACAGTGTGATGACTATAGTCTGAATATAAATAACAGATTCAGAAAGAGATTAAAGCCTTCTAGCTCATCTGGTCTTACACATGACAGATGTTCTGCTAATTATAGAGGGTGTAGCAAAAATACCTCCCACATTTTAAGCTGTCATCTGTATGGTGACAAGGAAGTTAGGGAAGTGACAATGGTCTCTTCATCTAGCTAATGTCTTACCATTTCTTTCAGATACCATCATGGTTTGGAATGGTGTACATGTGTTTGTTTTTTAAATGTTTCTTTTAAAACATGTGAATCTGTAATTGCAACACAAAGAGCTTTTTGTACTTATTTCATGTTACATCAGATTGACGCTGTTCCGGATCGAAGATCGATACAACTAGAGAGTAAAAATTTCAGGGCCACAGGTTCAGCACTTAAAAGAAAGCCTCCTGAAAGACCTTGAACCTCAGGGTGAAGGAAAACTTTAGAAATCGTCTGCAACAGTGTAGGGAGAATAAAGACCACCATTTTGAGGATGCTATTTTCAAAACCAAATGAATAAAAATTGTAGTCCTTTGTTTAAATAACAGTGAAATAAATTTCTTCATAGCAGTTACCTTGGTCTTTTTGTCAACCTTTAAAATGTGGGAGGTATTTCTGCCGCACAATTCAAATATGTGAGAAATATTTCTGTTTATTTTAATACTGTAAATGTCATCATTTAGAATTGGTAGAATATTTTAGAATTAATTCTGTTATGAAAACCCCTAATCCATTTGATCCCCTACCAGAAGCCAACATTATCACAAAACCTTTAGTTATCTTCAGGCTCAGCAGAAAAGCATTCTTTCGTTAACCTTTGCATTACCCATTACTTGCCTTTCCACTGCATTACTTAATTTTTCAGTTTTGTTGCCATAGCGGGATATGACAACACAACTGCAAAATTCAAACACGCTATTATTCATTCATCTGAGTCACTTGCAGTGGCAGGATAGCATTTTAGCTTTGCAAACAAAATCACCTCCAAAAGGTTAAAGGCTAATCAAGCAAGAGATAGAAAAATCTTCATGAAAGAAATACAATTATTCGTGAAATAAATATCAACACTTCTGCTGCTGTGGACGTACATATGCATCTTTTATGAAACTGAAGCTGCCTGCTGTTGATTTATATACACAATATCAAAACACTGTGAAAGGCTGGTCTCTAGCTTTTGTGTTATGAACTAACGCTTAGTGCTATTCCCAAACCAATGCAGACACAATAGCATACACTGTAACCTATTTTGTCATACAACTTTATTACATTGTGTAATTTCTAAGGAATTAATGGATTTCATCTACAATTTGACATTACTTATTATTACTTATTATTACTGTGAAAGTTAATTTAGTATTTGAGGAGATGCGCTGAATTAACCTCCGTTTTCTTTCTTTAACCATTAACACAACACTGCATTATTCCCTACTTTCCTTTCCACTGCATTGTTTTACAAGGCTCTTCTACTGCACTATTTAATTTCAGTCATGGTCATTTTATGTTGCCATAGTGGGATGTGACAACACAACTGAAAAATTCAAACACACTATTCATCTGAATCATTTGCAGTGGTAGGATAGCATTTTAGCTTTGCAAACAAAAATCACCCCCAAAAGGTTAAAGGTTAATCAAACAAAAGAAATGGAAAGATGTTTGAGTTGAACAGAAAACTTTCATTCTTTTGTTACTTTTTGGTTGACAGGCAGAAATAAAATTCTTATCAGATTTTCTTTCCTGATAACCATGGCTACAGGTAGATAGGGTTCATTTGCTCAGGGGGAGGGGGGGGATAAGACATGGATTTTTGGAATTTCTAAAGGCTTTTTTTGTTTTTTTTATACATGTTTTTCTTGAATTTCTTTTTCTCTCTTGCCTGCAACAAAATTCCTGAAACATTTCATTAGAATGCCCCAATATTTTTTTATTTATTTTTCAAACTGTTTATATTTCCCAGGAAGTTGTTTTAAAATTTGGTCTTTATCCAGCGGACAAATGCCAGTTAAGGAAAACCCAACTACAAGATTTTCCTGAGAAAGAGTTTTCATAAAATGTTTCAGAAAAGCAGGAAGATTTCCTTTGGGAAAAGCCGCAGTTGAAGACTTTTCTGTCATCCATGAATTTAACACATTATATGAGGATTCTTTAAACTTTTTAAACACAGGGACCTCAAGCGGCTGGCATACATGAGAAGAATTTGGCGGCAAGGTTACTAACCTTATGTTATTTTCCAATGTCGCTTTGATTACAGCCAGCGTGAAGTAACTCCCAAGATTATGACCGACCAAAACTTTTATTCCGTCAGACTGGGAAGTCTTCAGAAAAACGTTAAAGAACCAATTTTCAAAATTCTTTGAATCAAAACGTCCACTATTGCTAACATCGTAAACAGCATTTGTTGGGCCGTCCTCTGTCCAATTTGGAGAGAGTTCTTTCCCTTGAAACACAACCATTGGTGGACAATATTTCCCGGCAGCGTTTCCCGCAAACATGATACTTACACGCTCTTTAGATGTGTCCTGTTTTCGTTCGATTTCATCTCTGTATTTGCGCCGAGCGATTGTCGTCTCACAGTCAGGTTCGAAGATGATGTTCATTTCGTCATAGCTGTAAATTCTGTCTGGCGGAATGCTTTCAATAAACTCTGACAGCATTTCAAAGTATTTACTAGTTATTTCTTTGGTCAGAAAGGTACGACTGTTCTTCACATTAGCTGCAATCTGTTGGCTCAAATCATGTCGTTTCATGAACATCCGAACCCAGTCGATCCCCGGAAGATTACCTCTAAATTTTGCATCAACAATTCCTCGTTTGTCTAAGTAACCTTTCACCATACAGCGAATATCGAATGAGTCAATCAGAATTCCAAAATCGATTAGAATGGAAACAAGAACGATCAATTCTTTCTCAGTCTGTTCACTCAAGCGAGGCTGACCTCCAGGTTTTCTTCGACATTGTGGCAGTCCTTTGTAGTTTCTGTGCAGGGTAGCAAAGGGAATATTGAACTCCTGGGCGGTCTTTCGCAGTGACGACTGGCCAGTTTGTACTTGCTTTATTGCCAACTTCAAGTCTTCTTCAGTGTACGTACTTAAATATGGCCTGGCACCAGGTCGGCGTTGATATTTTCGAGGCATCCTTAGATCTGTGGGGAGAAAAACAAAGACAATTTCAAAATTCAGTGGTTAGTTTTTAATTATCACAGAAAAAAACCCCAAAATAAACAGATGTTAAAAGACAAGCAAGAAATAAGAAAAATATGTTATGTTGATATCTGTCTGAATTTCTTGTAACATCATATTGATTCGTTACACCACACCCATCCAGTTTTGCCTACAGAGCTTTGTCTGCAGTGTGAAGGTCTCAAGATTGTTAAATGGGCATGAATCTTCAAGATTGGTCAAATTAGAAGATATCTCCATAGTCTGTGATCACCTACATTAGTGGTTGGGATCAGCATCAGTAGCATCTCCCTATTTCTGAAAGTTGAGTCTACAGTGACAAAGTCTGGAGGTAATTCTATTGCTACTTCCATGGAAAGTGCTCAGACGAACTATACTTCTTGGTTCTGCCACATGTAACCTTCATGGCTAGGACCTGCGATGTCACTTACATAGTACAAAACCATCCACATTCTCTCCATATTTTATTGGCGAGAAGGTCCACTCAAACAGGTTCTTCGTGCAAACCATTGCCTGATGGAACAGCTTCAAGAGTTGTTTCCCTGATCACTACAATCTTAACCTGCTCAAATCTAGAGTTAACCATTATATTCCCCTCTTATTCATATAAACTACCCCTTGATATAACTATCTACCTCGAGTGGCTCTCGAGCCCTGTACAGAGTGAACCTTAGTGTAAAAAAAAAAAAAAAAGAGAGATTCCAGCCAGACCAGAAAGGCCAGGCATCACAGGAGCCAGAGGGAGGGATTCTGTAAGGCTGGGAGAGAACCTGCGTTCCATGTTGCTTAAGATGGCTGCACCACAGGAACAGATGCTGACTAGGAGCTCTGTTGTTCAGTGGTTCGACTGAATGTAGAAAGTGGTGCCTTGACTCGAGCCTCTTTGTTAATGGTTCAGTCGTGGAGCAAATGACGAGGGTCAGTTTTTTGTTTTGACTTCTCAAATTGGGAGTCAACTGTCACTCTGATGTAAGAAGGAAGAATACCACTAAGCAAATTGATGTCATCAACTTCAATTGGCTTGAATCACCCCACTGAGTGGGATGAGGATTTATTATTTACACTATTTATGTGCGGACTATTATCCTTATCTTTGTTATAGTTATCACAATGTTTTGAACGATGTGCTCACCAACCTTCCTTAGGTGTATATTGATCTGGGTCACCTACAGGGTATGATATCATTATTTATACTATCTACATTCAGACTATTATCCTCATCTTTGTTGTTGTTATCACAGCCTTTCAGCCATTCTTCTCTCCAGCCTTCATAAGGTATATGATGAACTCAGTGTAACTCTACAAGGGTAGACTATTCTGTTTCTACAGAGTTCAAGTATATAGTGCCTGGCCGAGGGATTGAACTCACAATTACTATCACCAAGTCCACAATCCAATGACCACAAATCCCCAGAGATTAAACAAAGGATTCAGTTCTAAATTTCCTGTAGTTTACCTGGATCGACATACAGCTAATGGAATTCATTCCCTACAGATTATGTGGATTGATATTAACCTGATGAAGGTCAGAGAGAACAATGGTTGAAACGTTGTGCTAACAACAGCAGAGGACAATAGTCTGCATGTAAATACTGCTAATAATGATAAATCCTCATCCCAGAAATTAATTCCCTTTAGGTTATCTGGACCTATATAAACCTGATGAAGGCCAGAAAGCACAAGGGCCGAAATGTCATGTTAACAACACAAAGATGCAGATATGCAGGCTATCTGCACATATTGTAAATAATGATAAATCCTCATTCCAGAAATTCGGACAGTTAACGACCCCTCTAAGTGTTAGTGAATTTTTTTACTTCGACACTTCAGAATAATGGTAACAAGCATGTCTTGGAGATTTTAGTAGAATAACTGATTTCACTTTTTAGGTGAATCAATAATTAAAGTACCCTTTTACATTTACAATCAGTTAAAGTGCTGAAAAGTTCTCAGTTCAACTTCCTAAAATATAACCAAAACTTTTTTTTAAAACCTCTCTTGGTTGAGTCAAGGGCTTTTCAGCACCTTACTATAAAGTTCTTTTAACCCAATTTGTTAGTACTGTGGTGCATTTTCATAGCGTTAGTACTATGGGGAAAGTTTCAGCCCCCACCTCCCCACTCTACAACTAATTAAAATATCTAGTTCAGTTCTTAATTTTCTTGTTATTTATTGTCTTGAGTGTTCTGTTTTTTATAGAATAAATAGTTTTATTCTGAAGGCTAATATTAAAAAAAACAAAACAAACAAAAACATGCAGTGTGTACTGTGAATCTGTGGAAACTCTATGAGCAATAAGTGGGAAGTGCTAAAAGTAAGAACTAAACAAGATATCCATGGACATGAGCAACCAAAAGAGAAGTCTGTCCTTGTAGATCAGGATTTCCTAAACTGGATGATATCACCCACCAGCGGGTGATTTCAACTGTTCGGTGGGTGATATTATAAGATTGTATATTAAAAAGGTATTTCAACATATGTTGCACAAAAGAAGTATTCAAAGGAGATATGCAAAGGAACTGTATTAAAAAAAGCCGCCCCCCCACCCCGAAACAAACACAGAAGGCTAAATGGAAGTAACTGAGTTATATTTCTAGATAAAATATAAATATACCCGCCCACAATGTATAATTGGATATTTTGCATACTTTTGAGAAGGGTCATTAATATTCAAGTAGTTCTTCAGACAAAATAAGATTTATTTTCGGATATAGATCAGACAAGGGAAGATCAAAAATTATATTAGCTGAATTTTTATATATTATTTAGCTTATAATCAAGAAATAACTCTGAAAACATTTTATTTATTCATAAATTTATAAAAATGTCTATGAACAAGAAAATTTAAATAACCATAATGATGAGTAACTGCAATTAGAAATTTTGAAAAAGAATGCACTTTCCAGACATTTCTTTCAAGCATCTTGAGAACTGACAGCAAAAATGTTAAATACAATTTATTTATTAGTTTATTTAAAAGAATAGATTTTAATATATTTGCTGCTAATTCTTGAGAAAAAAGAATGTGCATAAATCCAGTTTTGTAGTTTTTATTAAAATTCTAAAAATGACTTTTGAAAAAAAGTAAAAATTGCTGAGAAAGTACAGAGTAATAGCACTGCCAAGAAAAAATAAATGTCCTTTTGACACACTTGTTTTTTTTTTCTGGGTATGTACACTACAGTTCAAAAGTTTGAAGCCAAGCCCAGAATTAGCATGGGGTGAATTTGACAGAAGAGGGGCGGGAAATGAAAAAGAGCTTTTAAGAGTCATTGAAAAAAGAATGGAATCAATTATCAAACTTATACTTTGAGAAACTTTTGCAACAAATGCCAAAAATTTGTGCTGCAGTAATCAAGGCTAAAGGAGGATATTTTGATGAGAGCAAAATTTAATCATAAAATGTCTTTTCTTTCTAATAAAAAATCATATCTCACTTTTTTTAATCATGTATAATAATTTTCTTAAAGTACAAAACAACTACTTTTTGGCCCAATTTAAAAAATTACCAGAGGTGGACTCAAACTTTTGAACTGTAGTGTGTATGTGTGTGTGTGTGTGTGTGTGTGGAGGTTTCTTTTCTCGCACTTCTTGCTTGTGAAACTCCCTTCCGGCTCCATGCTTTCCAGCTAAATTTAATCTGCAAAAATTTAAATGCAATGTTAATCGCTATCTACTGTCCTCCTGATTACACTTTTCTCTTTCTGCTCATTATTAATGTTTCTGTTCCTAATCCTTCCACATCCTGTAACTTCGTGTGTCTCAGTGACTTTACTGCCTTCCATGGGGTGATACAGATTAAAAAAAAAAAAAAATCAATTTTAGTACCACTATAATAAAACAAGTTTTAAGATAGGGATCATAATTTAATATTTAATGAATAAAATCTAATAAAATAAATATAATTTAAAGCGCCTTTTGACCAACACTTCGTCGTCAGAAGTGTTTTAACTATTTGCACTATTCACATTGTTTGGACTTTATTATCATATTCATGTTTTGGCCGTTGTACACTCCGGCCTTCTTCAGGTGATATATGTTGGAATTTCAAACCAAACCCTTTATTTAGTCCACGGGAGTAGATTGTTCTAGTTCTACATGCCATGCCTCTTCCATATATCTCAGTTTCAGTTATTTCCCTTTAGTAACTCAACTCTCCAAGTTTTTGTCCATCTCTGCTGTGGCCAAGTATTGAACTCACAACTCTTTGAGTCAAGTCACTTTTGGATTACTTCAACCAATGCTTTTGTGTCTTTGGGAATGTGGAACAAGAACAATCTATCCCCAGTGCGAAATTCCAACATTTATCATGTGAAGAAAGCCAGAACATACAATGGCCGAAATGTTGTGAATATGACAACAGTCCAAGCAATTTGATATTTGCTGATTTTTTTCTTTTGTTTTATTAAGCTCTGTTATTTTTATTTTTTTGCAAAGGTCAATGGCTCCCAACATTACCTGTCATATGTCGGAATGTGTACCGATTCAGGAAAGGTGGCATCACAAGGTCAAATTCATTAAAACAAAAAAAATTAAGAGAGAAACAAGATATGGAACTGAAAAAGATACGTAACGTTATCAAAGCAAGATTGTTTTCAGCATTAATTATTCCTATTGCTACCTGCACTGAATAAATATATAGCCTAAAAGATGAACAGTGTAGGAAAATTTCTTGTCTTTGAGAATAAGAGCCTTAGAGCAGAGGTTGCCAACCAGTTTTGCATCATTGCCCACTTTCACATGGGAAAATTTTCCACAGCCAACTGTATAATAAATATCCAAATGCATATCAAAATTGTTTGTTAAAATTTTGTTACTGGTTCATAAACTGACTTTATGTTGTAGTAAAAAATACCAAAGGGAGGTAACAAATAATGCAGAGTTATACTGCTACTACCATATTAAGGAACAAATGAAAAATACTTACATTATTTTACATTACTCAGATTGTTATCCTCATCTT